GGAAATATATGTTATTCTTTCTCATCACAGAACTGAGCCCTGAACCACATCTTCAGTGAAACAAATATAGTGAACAACATGGAAAGTTCAAGATACCCATGGGCTTTGCAGTTTGTGATTTAAGTTTATTGAGAGTCAAAACTTAGGATTGAACCCAGGACAATAATAATGAATATCAATAATAATGAATATCAAGTCAAGGTCCTTCCATCAATGGAAATGTAGAGATGAGAAGTACCATGAAAGCGTGATGTTAAAATTTATTGTCATTTATCAGATAGTGGTATGCCCATTATATGTTGCACACTGAGTATTTCAAAATACTGACTTGTGCTCAAAGAGGTTCGAACTATTTAAAGCACATGTCTAGACTTTATAGACATCCTAAATTTCTCTTCTTTGTATCATTATTTTTCTGGGCATCTAGGTTAAAAAAAATCTTAGAATTCTTGAATGTAGTCTTTGGCAAGTTTTTAAAAATATTTCTTGTATACTCTTTTTTCCTTTTTATTCTGCATTTTCCTATCTAATTCAAGTTCACAGCATTCCTTTCCTGGATTATTTCAGTAGCCTTCTAACTAGTTTCTTGTATTCTTTCTTTTTTAAAGAATACTTTATTGCTTTTTAGAGAGAGAGGAAGGAAGAAAGAAACATCGATGTGAGAGCATCACATCGATAGGCTGCCTCTGGCACACCGTCAACAGGGATTAAGCCCACAGCCCAGGCCCTGACCTGGAATTGAACCAGCAACCTCTTGGTGCTCCAGATGATTCCCATCCAACTAGCCACACTGGCCAGGGCCTAATCAGTTTCTTGCCTCCACTTTCTTCTGTTCCAGTTTGTCTTAGAGTGCTGTTCTGAATATATCATTTCTTGAGAAGCCTTCAGTGGTTCACAATTGCCCACAGGATAAGGCTTATATTCTATCCGGATTTTTTTTATTAGCACTTTGAATCTCATTCTTCTTAATGGATTATTAGGAACTTGGAGGCTTGCATATACCAATTTATCATTCTGACAACCAAGAAATCACCATTTTCTCGGGCGCTCGTCTTTCCCCACCCAACAGGCATCAAGAAATCTGGTCTATCTTAGAGAGTGTTTGGATTACAATATATGAGAACAGGTACAAATTTCTAAGAAGTGTTGAATTTTAGGGTTGGCCATCATTACCGATATTCATTGAACAGTTAGAGTCTGAATTGTGAGTTTAATTACTAGATTACCTTATTGAGGGTCTTTTGTCAAATTGGTACCTTAAAAACAGTGATGCTTAAATAGGGGTGTACATCAGAATTACCTCAAGAGTTCTGGGTAATTTCTGGATAATATAAGTGAAAAGTGCTTATCTTGCTTTATCAGTGTAGTTATTAGAGTCTACTTCAGTGATTCTCAGGCCTGATTGTGTACCTGAGTCACTGGAGAGTTTTTCAGCATATTTATGCTTGATGCTTTCATGTAGAGGCGCTCATTTGAAGTTCCGGCAGACCCCATGCACAGTCATTCTTCCGAAACAACTAGAGTACCTACGCACTTGGTAACTGCATCTCCTTCCCTGTGCTCTCGTGGTTCAGTAATCAGTTATGAACTTATAGCACACCAGCTCAAGTTTTTGCATCTTTTCTGTTTATGAGGAATTTGGGTAAGTATTAGGTACTATTAATGATGAAGATCTCATGGACATTAATAATGCTTATCTCTAGTTGGTGGACTATGGGTACTACATATTTCCTTCCTTTTACTGAATTTTTCATATTTTATATGATGTCTAGGCTTTAAATGTATAAAAATTTTTTAAAGATGTGTCCTAAATAAGTTTATGGTTTTTATTTTTAAAGTAATAAATACACAAAACCAGTTGTATTTCTATACACTAGCAATGAACAATCCAAAAAGGAAATAAACAATTCTACTTACATTATCATCAAGAAGAATAAAATACTTAGGAATAAATTTAACCAAGAAGGTGCAAAATTTTTACACTGAAAACTACAAAACATTTTTTGAAAGACATTAAAGAAGATCTCTGTAAATGGAAGAATCCAATGTTCATGGAATGGAAGTTTTAACAAGAAATTTGGAAGACTCATACTTCCTGATTTCAAAACTTACTACAAAACTACAGTATTCAAAACAGTGTGCTACTGGAATAAATTAGACACATAAGTTAATAGAATAGACTTGAAAGTACAGAAGTAAATGCATACATCTATGGTTGGTTGATTTCAATCAGGATGCCAAAGCCATTCAATAAGAAAAGAATGGTATCTTTAACAATAGCGCTGGGACAACTCAATAGCTACATGCAAAAGAATGAAGTTGGACCTTATACTACATAAAGAAATTAACTCAAAATAGATAGATGACCTAAATATAAGAACTAGAATTATAAAACTCCTAGAAGAAAACAGTTTATATAGAGCAGCATTATGAGAGATGAGATATAAATATTTTATGCATTAGAAATGGAAATACTTGGATTCCTGTAAACATGCAAGTGTACATATGAGTATCTTTTCTTTTTCTCTATTTCAGCACAGATGTGTTTCAAAGATTGGGCCCAAATTCAGCTCTGACTTCCTCAAAAATACCATCATTTGAAGAAGCATTTATATATCTTCAAAAGTTAATGGCAGCTGTGAAGAATATTCTTGAAGGAATTCAGAGGTAAATATGAATTAATTTTAAAGTTTTATTTAATATCTTTTTAATTTATTACCTTTCTTTTAGGCATATCAGCTTTTTCAGACTTGCTGAGAGTCTTCCAGCAAGTTTTATAAACTAATATAGTATCCAATAGGGAGGGGAGAGTAGGTTTGCAGTTATGAGTATCCAGCGGATCTAGGCATAAGTTTATGAAAGAACAGATTGAGGTAGTATTGACCTAAGAACACTCTGTCTACATGGAAAGAGTATTGACCCTAGTTCTACAGTGAAACCTGAGGATAAGCATTTTTACAAACTCCCCAGGTGATTCTAACATGGAACCAGGGAACTTGTTAAAAGTGCAGAGTTATAGGTATTACCCCAGAATTATGGAAATCACAATATCTGTAGATATTTTGTAAAAGACGGAAGTTGTATTCTTAACAAGCTTTTCAGGGGATTTGTGCGGGTGGTCGGGGACCACGCTTAAATCCAGTATCCTAGAGTAAGTAAATCAGAACCTCTTGAGCTACCAGTAGAGGGCACTATTAATAAGAAGTTTGCTCCTTTTAGTGTGTCATTTACATATCTTTTGCTTATTAAGCTTCTAAAAAACGAATTTTCTTACCCAATCTTAACAAGGGAACAAAACATATACTGGTATAACCATACATGATTTCTGGGAAAAGGAATCCTATAATCACAGCAGCTTTTTAGATTCACTGATGATTTAGCTGCTTCAGAGAATGTGATGTTTGCATCGGAGAGAATATTTTATTAACTTAATACTGTAAATTCCCTGCTATTAAGTCTTATGTTAAGAAATGCTAAAGCCAGCAAACACTATATTTTTAGTGAAGCAGATGGGATAAATAACTGAGTAAATCAGTGGGGTTAAGCATCAGTAAAATAAATGAAACGGGGGAAATCAACTAAAGGTGCCAAATAAGGGCTATTATAATAATTTAACTGAAACAGTAAGTATGTAGTAAATATGTTGGATAAAGCTAGATGATCAGTTCCAATTCCATCCTACAGAGTCGTCGTACAAAGGATACAGAGTAGAACCTAGACTTTAGGATTAGTCTTATCTATTTGTGCCTCTAAAGAACTTTTAACACCATGGCAGGCCAATCATCTGCTCCTAGTGAGAAGTGATGCAATCAGTGTCCTCAAGACTGTTTTTCAGTAGTATAAAAGATTAAGTCCAACTCAGAACAGTGCTGTCAGGCCTAGATCATGCTGTCTATTGGTGTTTCTCTGTTAGTCAGAATATGTAGATCCAAGAAACCACTCTAGGTATTTACAAAATTTAATATACACTTTACATACTTTTTAAAAATATATATTCATTGATTTCAGAGAGATGGGAGAGGGAGAAAGAGATAGAAACATCAATGATGCGAGAGAATCATTGATGGGCTGCCTCCTGTATGCCCCTACTGGGATCGAGCCTGCAACCCGGGCATGTGCCCTTGGCCAGAATCAAACCCAGGACCCTTCAGTCTGCTGGCCAATGCTCTATCTACTGAGCTAAACCGGCTAGGGCTACACTTTACATACTTAATTTCAGTGCTGTTGGAAGGACTGGAGGAGCAAAAAGAAGGTGTTGTTTTTTCTTAATGCATTTTGAAACTTTCTGTGTTTTTGTGTTCTCTATACCAGCAGTCGCCAACCTTTCGGACCTCACGGAGCACCAGTGGTCTGCGGACTACCAGTTGGTGACTGCTGCTCTATACTATAGAGCACAATTCATGATTACTATTATTATTTTTAAAAGTCAACAGGTCCTCCAGATTGCTTGGAAATAGTTGTAAACAAGAGAAGTGATGTGATCCTGTAAAATATTTCATGTGTGGAATTAGAGGCATTTTTCAGTGTGTTCCATGAAATTAAGCTGTAATGACTATTCTTCCTTTACATAGTTAAGCTCAGGGCCTAATTAATACAAGGAACCCTGCCCAGTTCCCAACACATAATATCAAGACAGACGTAAGGTAACTACTGTGCACCTTCACATTACAAAGGGGGAAAATAAGAGGCACAGGGATCTTGAGTAAATCTAAAGTCCAGCCAGGCACATGTTGCCACTTCCTTGATTAGGGCTCAGTCCTGCTGCCTGGGAATGACTTACAGCTGCTCTGACTGCTCGCTGGGTTCTTAATTTTGGCCTTGACTTTTACCGTAAGAAAAAGCAAACTGCAGCGGAGGAGTATTCTCAGCCGGTTCTTTCCCGTAAAAGGTGGGAAGAGTCCAAAGACCTCTTTCCACTTCATATTATCTCTATCCTGTTTAGTTCAAGTGATGGTACTTTTACCAGAACATTCCAACTAAAAAACTGTTTTCTATGAATCTTATCGGGGTTCACTTCATTAGATAAAAACCACAACCACAACTTTCTTTGAAATTTATTTCTTTGAAATAAACCCTTCTCCGCCTTGGGTTCCCTGTGAAACTGGTATGGGCAATGCCCTTAACATTTTTGGAAGTCTTGTTTAACAGACAGATTTGTGAGGCATGCTCTTAGGCTTAAAGGGCCTTCGGTGTTTCTGAAAAATTCTACAAGGCACCTTCTTAGATCTTTCTGAGGACTCAACAAAAAGCTCTACAGCAGTGGTTCTCAACCTTCCTAATGCCGTGACCCTTTAATACAGTTCCTCATGTTGTGGTGACCCCCAGTTTCAAATTGAACATAATTAAATTGAACATAATTAAAGCATAGTGATTAATCACAAAACAATATGTGTTTTCCGATGGTCTTAGGCGACCCCTGTGAAAGGGTCATTCGACCTCCAAAGGAGTCGCGACCCACAGGTTGAGAACCGCTGCTCTACAGTAATGCTATTATTATTTTTTACCTTAGAACCATGTTTTCCTGCCATACCTGTTAAAGGTAAATATTGAATAGTACTTAAACTTGTAACCTAAGAGAAACGTAATTGTTACTTCAGGAACTTTGGTTATACTTAATGCTTTGGCAATGAGTTTTCTAGGCTTATCCTTAGATGTATTCTATCACCACCACATCACTGTATGCTCTCCATTTGTGATCTCATCTACTCTGATCTCTTTATGAATATTACTGTACTTTCCATCTTACCCAGCCGTGGGCAAACTACGGCCCGTGGGCCGGATCCGGCCCATTTGAAATGAATAAAACTATTGAAAAAAAAAGACCGTACCCTTTTATGTAATGATGTTTACTTTGAATTTATATTAGTTTACACAAACACTCCATCCATGCTTTTGTTCCAGCCCTCCGGTCCAGTTTAAGAACCCATTGTGGCCCTCGAATCAAAGAGTTTGCCCACCCCTGGCTTACCTCTCTTCTTGGTTCAGTTGTGAATTTTCAGCTCATACTCTGCTTAAATGAAACTTATTGTTTTAACTGGTATCACCTGGTTCCTTTCTGTTTTCTTCCTCTGTGTCCATTAGATCAAATGCTTGCTGATATTTGACCAGTTCTGTGATTGATGCTAAAATTTCCAGTTGTGTTTGTGAGCTTTGCAATTTCTTTGTAATGCAGTCAGCATCTGCTTTATAGATTTTGATGTTATGGTATATCTTCCTGGTGAATTGTTCTCTTTACTGCTAATAGTACTTTTTGCCTCCAAGCTTATTTTGTAGTATGTTAGGATTGCTAGATGAGCTTTTTTGTGTCCTTTTTTTGTTGTTTTTTCCCCTTTATCTTCAACATTACAGGTCATTATTTTTTTACATGACATAAAGCTAGATTTCTCCTCATTTCACTGGTGAGAAGCTGAGGTGCAGAAAAGTAGGTAACTTGATCAAAGTCACATTACTAATTCAGGGTGTTAAAAGGAGTGTCAGACTTTGAGTAAGTGTTCATTAAGACATTATGTGTTATTGATGCTGTTACAAAAGAAACCAAAGTACATTCAGATCAGACTTGGTTTGTAAGTCGTTTGTGAGCTTCAGATTAAATCCTACTTCAGATACCTATTTCCCAATTCTGATTCCGAAATTCTAAAGTGGAATTTCAATGATAATAAACAACTTGAAGGTAGGCAACCGTGTCTTTTTTTTTTTTTTTGGCAACCGTGTCTTTTAATTTTGTTTTATATTCTGTAGCTTGTAGAATACTATACATCTGAAAAATAGTATGCATATAATAAATACTTTTTGATTGTTATGAAGTTTTCGTGAAAGGACAAGTGTAGATATATTTATAAAGAAAAAATAGCCATTTACTGAAAAGTATTTTATTTCCTCTAAGGGCTAATTCTTTCATTTTATTATTCTTTTTCAAAGTTGCCATCAAAGGGTAATTTCATTCAAAGAGTCTTTTGTCTTCATACTGGTATAAGAAAAAAAACAGTGAGAAAGGCTGACCTCTCAAGAATTTTGTGTGGGGAGTCACTAAGGCATAAAAATCCATAAACCATTTCTCTCCATTTTATTTTTTATGTATTTACAATAAGCTGTACTTCTAGTTAGTAAAAGTTGGCAACTTTTTAAAATATCGGGCCAAATTCCATTCTCACAAACTCAACGTTTATAGGACATGATGAAGTTGAAGTTCAGCCCTAAATTGAGTGTATTTTAATAAAGGTTGTCTAGTCTGTTTGTGGCCCAGTTTACCTCAAAATATTCTTTGAGGATAACAAGTTTTGTAGCCAATCCTATTATGTATATTTTACTTCTAAGAAATAATATGTATTGATTAATTTTGATTGAACAGTAATATATATGAATGATGTTGACATACTAATAAACCTTCATTTGAATATAATTCTGTGCTGTTTATCAAGTAATCAAGTGTTTACATTTGGAGAAAATAACTTCTTTCTTAAAAACTTCAAATTCTAGCATTTCATCACAGAAATAACTTGTAAACTAGTTTGTTAAAAGTAGCAATTAAAAAGTGGGAAGAAAAGACTCAAATAGAGAAGAATGCGATATTCTTCCTTCATTATCTTCCTGTGCTGGGTCAGGATTTTTTCTTTCCTGGGCTTTTTAGAACTATGATGCTTTGGTCTACTCTGAGTCTTTGGTTTTGTTCACTGTTGTTTCTAAGGGCCTGGAATAGTTTTTGACTCATAGTAGGTCTCAAATACTGGTTGAATGAGAGAATAAAGGGGTCTTCTGATCTGGGCATTTTGAGCTTTTTCACTTACCACATACATTGTGAGGGTCAGACGTTTTCCACTAGAGTTTGCCTCATCTAGACTCTGTATGCTGTTATTTATTGTACAACTATGCTTTTGTGAAGGATGAGAGGAAAGATCTTATAGACCAGTGGTTCTCAACCTGTGGGTCGCGACCCCTTTGGGGATCGAACGACCCTTTCACAGGGGTCGCCTAAGACCATCGGAAAACACATCTATAATTACATATTGTTTTTGTGATTAATCACAATGCTTTAATTATGTTCAATTTGTAACAATGAAAATACATACTGCATATCAGATATTTACATTATGATTCATAACAGTAGCAAAATTACAGTTATGAAGTAGCAATGAAAATAATTTTATGGTTGGGGGTCACCACAACATGAGGAACTGTATTAAAGGGTCGCAGCATTAAGAAGGTTGGGAACCACTGTTATAGACGAAGAAAGCAGTGTAGTCCAAAAATGCAGTTCTGTAGAGACAGAAAATAGATGAGTGGTTGCCTGTAGCTGGGGTTGAAGGTGAGAAAAGAGAATGACTATAGATAGGCAAGAGGGACCTTTTGTGGGTGAAGAAAATGTTCAAAAATTGGATTGTGGTGATTGCTGTACAGTTTGGTAAATGTATTAAAAGTGAATTTTATGGTATGTAAGCTGTACCTCAGTTAAACTCTTTAAAATATAAAGCCAGATTGGGAGCTCAAAATTTCTCCAATTATTTGCTAATTGGAAAACAAGGATGATGTAATTCTTTTATTTCTTACTTTGGATATGACTTGTTGTGATAGATAAATAACTGATTTTCCCAAAACCGGTTTTTTTGTAAGGCATTTTAGGACAGAAAAATGTTAATTTTATTCACTAGTACTTTCTATTGTGCTTATCAGCTTGGAATTTACAAAGCTTCTAATAAAAACATCTCATTTCATCTCATTTTCTTACCCTGTTTTTAGATATTTCCAAAGCTACAAAAATGACTAAGTGTAAATTATTCTACTTTGCTGATAGTTTGTTTACACTAGTTACAGGGTTAAAACACACTATTTCTATCATCTTTCTAAAAGATTGGTTTAACTTATTAAATAGCTTTCATTTTTTTAAAGCAAATTATTTATGGACCCTCCCAATGTAATGTAATTATCCTCTGTCTTTTTTTTTTTTCAATTAGGAGATTATTGGTATTTTAAAATTACTTCAGAGAAAAAGGTTTTCTATGAAATGGTATTCTTATTTAGATTGTTGTATATTCTTTTTTTAAAAAATATATTTTATTGATTTTTCACAGAACGGAAGGGAGAGAGATAGTTAGAAACATCGATGAGAGAGAAACATCGATCAGCTGCCTCCTGCACATCTCCCACTGGGGATGTGCCCGCAACCCAGGTACATGCGCTTGACCGGAATCGAACCTGGGACCCTTGAGTCCGCAGGCCGACGCTCTATCCACTGAGCCAAACCGGTTTCGGCAAGATTTTTGTATATTCTTAAAGATATTCTGTATATTTCTCCTCCAAGGGAGTATAGCCTCTTTAAAAACTCAACTGTGGCCTGCGGACTGGGGGGTCCCAGGTTCGATTCCGGTCAGGGGCATGTGCCTGGGTTGCGGGCACATCCCCAGTGGGGGGTGTGCAGGAGGCAGCTGATCGGTGTTTCTCTCTCATCGATGTTTCTAACTCTCTAGCTCTCTCCCTTCCTCTCTGTAAAAAATCAATAAAATATATTTAAAAAAATAAAATAAAATAAAAACTCAACTGTGTCCTGAAAAATTTATGAAAGCTCTTCCACAGTCTAAAAAAAGGCCAAGTAGATTAAAGATATAATAAGATTATTAGGTCAGTTAACTCCAACAATATCAACAATAACTCTGACAATATCAAGCATTGGCAAGGGTAAAAGGACCTAGAGACAATATTGTTTCTTTTTGACTTTTTATACGAGTTTATTTAAGCCAAACTGACCATGTATGCTGGGAATCAGATCTCAAAGAGATGTTGTAATTAAGGCACTCGGAATTTAAGAATTAGTTGAGGTGCCTTGATTTCTCATTAGTTAGATCTTTATGCACTTACTCTGTAGCTTGAAACTATTAGATGATGATAATAGTTATTATTGTTATAATTGATATATAGTGTCTCCTGAATACCAGACACTGTTATAAAGTTTCCCTATAGTAGTTCATTTAATTCTCACAATAACCCTATGAAGTATGGAATGTTATCCATATCTTTTAACAGATAAGGAAAATAGCTCACACAGAACTCACCCAAGTTCACACAGCTCAACAGACCCAGGAAGGCATGCTACTAACCACTATACCATAATGAAAGGACTGCTTTCCTTTTTTTTTTTTTTTAAGAAAAAAAACTAATATTGAAAGAATTAAAAAATACATAGTATAAGAAAATGAGAATTAGTACTTTACTGCTAGAAGGAGAAATAAGTTATTCTATCTTTATTTTTTCCTTGTTTCAATTTATTTTGTGTTTTTGTGTTATTTATATATTTATATTTTTTTGTTATTTTTATGATTCATTATTAACATTGGTCTGATTACTAATGCTTTTTCATATAATGCTATGCTGATAGTTCAAACAGTTTTATTTGAATTTAGTCACAAAATCTGACCAACCAGTTTGGCTTAGTGGATAGAGTGGCGGCCCATGAACTGAAGGGTTCGATTCTGGTCAAGGGCAGTCGGGGTGCATGCAGGTGGCAACCAATCGATGTGTCTTTCTCAAACATTGCTGTTTCTCTCTCCTCCTCCTCCCTTTCACTCTCTTTAAAAATCTATAGAAAAATATCTTCAGGTGAGGATTAATAAAAATAAAAACACAAAATATTTCATGAGTATATGTGTCTGGCAGTTTAGTTGTCTGTTGGATAGGTTGAACATTTCTCTGGGAGATCTTTAAGCTTTATCTGCAGCTTTAAATGATAGGGAGTACAAATGCACTTCACATTTCTATGTACCTTTTGAGAAATCTATACCCTGTGAACTATTATTTCACAAAATACTTCTGGTTATTGATTAATTGATGATACAAATACCAATGTAAATAAGCAAAAATATTTTAATAAGTCCTCTGTTGAATTAAGCTCATGGTTTTATAATTTTTAACTGATAAAAACTAGAAAAGGTTGTAAACATTCTAATAAGATTATTATACAACAGGTTATCTTTTATAGTATGGATATGTTTTGAGGAAAAGTTCAGGTATTGTATTTCTTTTTTTTTAACCATTCATTCCCCTTCCTCTGTTTTTATTATATTTTATTTTTAGGATTTTGGCCCCCAACAGTAATTATCAAGATATTGAGACCCTCTATAACTTCCTAATCAAACATGAGGTATGAACAATACTTTAAAATGTTTATCACATTTCCACCATAAACAAATTTTAATGTAAATTAACATGATAGAGTTCTAAAGTGTAATGGTATGCTATTTAATTGATATTTACTTTAAATTGTTGAGTGCCACAGAAGGTTTCTGGTGACATAGTTTGTTTTTTTATTCTTTAAGTAAAAACATACAGTAGAACCCTATAATAATACTAGAGGCCCAGTGCATGAATTCGTGCACAGGTGGGGTCCCTTGGCCTGGCCGGCTGTTAGGGTCAATGGGGGCCAACCGGCCCTCTCACCCATCCTGGCTGATCCAGGGGGAGAATTCTGTTGATCGTCAGTTTCTGTTAGCCTAATGCTCTTTGCACATGTTCCCGTGTATGTTTGCTTTCCAAGTGCATGTGTCTTTAATTTTTAAAATGTGCTACTTGAAGGAATATGACGTATATTCAGGTCTCACATTTGTTATTGAGTCAAACTCCTTTAAATATATTTCTTCACTTTTATTCCCGAGTAGCTCTTTATTTGGCCATTTCTATGCAATATCTGACATGAAGAACCTAGTGACTAAGTGTTCAATGTTGGTTCTTCCATCTGTTACCTGAATGCTCTTTAAAGAATTACTTAATTCTCTTTGTCTCAGTTTCTTCACCTATAAAATGGGAATAACATCAGTATGTAAATTATAATATTCTTTAAAACTAAATAACTTAATATGCCTATGTTAAGTGCTCCAAACAGTACCACACAGTTAAGTGTTCGGTGTTACAGCATTTATGTGTGCTTTTTAAACTGTCAGCCTAATACTGCATAACCATACTATGTGATTAGGATGATTTCTTCATTTGACATGATTCATATTATTATTTCATGATATTTTCTAAATTTCAAATTGAGTCATTAATTCTAACTATGAAAGTATATTTGTGGAAATAATATGATAATTTTAAAATCACACCCTGGAAAAATATGGGACATACTTAGTGCTTTCTGTTGCTGAGGTATTGGGAGAAAATACCTAACATTAGTTATAAGAATATGTGGAATTGATTTCCAGATTTTTAAAATAATTTCTTTTAGCAGAACTTCCTTTCCTGTATCAATTACTGCATTGGAGACATTTGTCTCATAAACAGTGATAGGACCATATAAAGTTTTAAGATGTTTGGCTTTTATACTTAATCTTTATCCTTTGTTCTTGAATTTTTTAAAATTAATACTGTAGCCATGTCAATATTTGGCATTCATTTAAATAGTACAAGAATTTAATAACACCAATTCCACAATCCACAATATGTCATAATTCTAATAAGGTTCACTGACAAAGGCATCTTTTAACTATTTGTTCCCTGGGAATTAAAATTGTACACTTGAGCATAAAAATGATATTTAACAGTGTAATTTAAAATGTCCCAATGTGAATGATCAGAAATGTCTTGAATCAAAATTAATGACTATGATGAAACAAGATATTTCAGGCTAGAATCTGTGATATAGGTGATGAATTTGTATTTCAGTTTTCCTTTTTAGTAGTAAATTATCTGTCTTTTTTTTGTAAGTCACCTATGACCTGGAACCCTTGTACCCTAGCTGTATTCTGGGATAAGTGTCCAAATGTCTGTGGGTGATAACTTTTAAAACTAAAGCGTCATCTAGATACTCATTTTTCTAAAAATACACTGAAGGCTTAAGGAACTATTTTTTATTCATATTATACAAGGTTCAAAAATCTCAGCTGATTTTTCTCAATAATTGATGGACAATACGTGATTCCCTTCATTCTCTGATCAGACACCCGAAATATTGTTGACATTTGCTTGCCTAAGTTTGGATATATTATAGGTCCTGGTATGTTGGAGTAATAGTGAAAATAGTGAAGGCCCTGAGACCAGAGAAGAACATGTAAAGAAAGAGAAATTGGACTGGTTGATAGTTTAAGTACATATTTTAGGACATTTTTAGAAGATACTTTTAAAAATTGTAAAGTACCTAAGAAGTTAATTATGATAAATTATATACCAATTTAACACATTTATTATAAATATATTAAATATTACATATAACTAAATGACAAATTTTAAGTAAAATTTTGGGATTATATACATTTAAAGTGTTATATTTAAAAACTATGTATTTTTAACTTTGAGTGAATGAAACATTTTCTACACAAATGTGAATTTTATGAAAATACTGAAGAAGCTGATGGAACTTTTACAAATAAGCAATACCCTTAAATCTATAGAAGACACTCATGAGTCTTTTAAGTAGTGTTAATGAATGCATACCAGCTAATATAAATAAATTGAATAGGAGATAGTCTTATTTAAGTTTCCCTTTCACTAAATCAGAAGTTCTTAAAATTTAGGAACTGTGCTGTTTGTTGAGTTATCTGGTAAAGCGAGTTTTCCTCTACAAATTTCTAGACTTCCCTACATTTTTTTTTATATAATCTAAATCAGTAGCGAAACCTCAAGAAATATACAGAATTGCTTCTGTGCGTACTACAGGTGACACCACTAGCTTGTGTATGATAAAGGACTTTTAGTATTGTATGTTATCTGGATTATAATACGTATTTATGAACTTAAACACGTTAGTTTTGAAGTCCTCCATAGTCTGAAAAATGCATTTCTTTAGAAAATGTTGGTAAATCAAACTTTTTCCGAAACAGATAGATGTTTCCATATAGTTTATAACCTTCATATTTAAATGAAAGTGAAGGTTATTCAGTAATAATTTTTGAAAGGGTCAGCATAGTATTCAAATGTTGTTAGAGTTGAATACTTGACTTTTTCTCTCAGCTTGAATTATTTCTAATGTTTAGGATATAAACAAGATGTGGGTGTTTCTGCTCATATAGTCTACCCCAAATCCACTTCAGCCCTTTAAGTTTTTAGTATTTTAAATTTTATTTTTTTATAAGTTACTTACTTTTCCTAGAAAATAAATATTGAAAATCACAAATATTTTAAGAGGTCAGGCTAACTGAAGCATGAATTGGTTTCACGGAGTACAAATTTTCCCATTTGATCTACAAAGCAATTGTTTGTTGAGATTTGTTTATTAACCTCAAGGCCATCTCACTACCAGTCCTATGAACAGATTAGGTTGAAACAATAGGACTAATATTTTTACATTATGTTAGCATTATGGTCATTGAGCTTCTGATTCTCAGTCTTCTGTCCTTCCTACGCAAGAACTAGAAACTTGACATTCTGTTTTCTCAGAATGTGGGCCACTCTGTGTTCTTACTACTTGTTTAATATTAAATTAATATACATTTTTAGTAACTATATCTTGGTTCTTTTCAGGTAAATAAAAGTGTCAAATTCACTGCCCAGGAACTTTATGATTGTGTTTCACATACTGAGTATCGGTAAGTCATATCTATACATAGATATACCGGTGGTGAAGAGGTTTTTTCTTGTTTTGTTTTTTATGGTTCAATACACTATGAGTTTTTGTCTTTATTAGTATAAAAATATTTCATACATACAAAAAGCCTGCATGTGTGTGTGTATGAGTTTAAAATAATTGTCAAACTTTTGGCCTCAAGACTCCTTTATATTTTAAAGTTGTTGGAAGTCCTGACTGGGTAGCTCATGTGATTAGAGTGTTGTCCCAGTGTGCACCAACGTTGTGGGTTTGATCCCAGGTCAGGGTACATACAAGAATCAACCAATGAATTCATAGAAAAGTGGAACAAATTGATGTCTGTCTGTCTCTGTCTCCCTATCCCTTTCCTCTCCCTCCTCCTCTCCTTCCTACCTCCCTCCTGCCCCATTCTTCTATTCCTTCCCCCTCCTTCTTTCTCTAAAATCAATAAAAAAATAAGTTATTTAAGACCCTCAAAGAGCTTTTGTTTTTGTGGGTCATATCTATCTGTATTTACTGTATTAGAAATTAGAATTGATAAATTTAAAATACTTATTTAAAAATAACAGTAGTTAATTAATTACATGTTAAGATCAATAACATAGAATTATGAAAAGAATTTTTCCCAAACCAAAAGTGTTACTGACAAGAGTGGCATTGTACATTTTTGCAAATCTCTTTATGTCTGGTTTAATAGAAGAAAGCTGGGTTCTCATAGCTGTTGCATTTATTCTGTTTCCATAATCACGTCATGTATCACTGGGAAACTTCTGTGTACTCTTGCAAGAGTGAGATTGAAAAAGGCAAATCATGTCTCAGTCTGGTCAAGAAAATAGCTTTGGCCTCTTTGACATCTCAGACCCTTTGAAAGAGGCTGGCATTCCCCAGACCATGTTTTGAAGAACAACAGGCATAAAGAATACTCAGTTGACAAAATAGACCTTTGCTCAGTCCTATTTGTATCCTCCCTTCCATCCTCTCAGTGATTTTGTGTTTCTAATTCTCAACCTTATCTTTATGGTTTTACTACGTATTATTTATTATTAAAAATATGGGGCCTGGCCAGTGTTGCTCAGTGGTTGAGTGTCGACCTATGAACCAGGAGGTCATGGTTCGATTCCTGTCATGGCACATTCCTGGGTTGCAGGCTTGATCCCCAGTGTGGGGCATGCAGGAGGCAGCCAATCAGTGATTCTCTCTAATCATTGATGTTTCTCTTTCTCTCTCCTTCTCTCACCCTCTCTGAAATCTATAAAAATATATTTTAAAAAATATTTTAAGTGTTTCTAGTTTTTAAAAAGGGATTAATTTAGCAGTATCACACAGTGTATATTCTTTAAACAAATAATTTGGTTTCTAGCATTCATATGTAACAAAAAAGGACTAGTATAAATCTGATTCTTGTATTCACAGGGTATAGGTTTGAATTCTCCATCCCTGGGCCCAGACAAACAAATACTGAGGAGCAAAAACACATTTAACCTAAATCTTTCACTGTCACCCTTATTCTTTGAAAGTCAACATTGAGATTCACCATGTTGATGCATGGAGCACAATTAGTTCTATTATAACATGACAGATGCATTCCTAATATCACCCATGCTCTATGCAAAATCGTGCAATAGAAACCTCGGAGTGCGTAAGAAAAAAATGGGGCTGGAGCATATCACTCAAAGATGTAAGGGACACATTGAAAAATCAAAATGGTATCCCAGATTTACACATGTTAGTGGTTAGAAAATATATAAATGCGAGAATAGATTTAATACTTTACCTTGTAAAAGAGCTCAGATTGCTTACAGAAGTGGTTGTTGGAAGGGCGCAGTTCATCGGTTAGTGTGATGTACTGGAGGAAGGGTTATCTAGAATTGAATATAAAGTCATAGCACTAAGTGTGATTGCCCATAACACACAGGCAGCTGAAGTAGCTGTTTGAGGTGTGTGCATGAGTGTGTTTTGTCTGTTTCTAAGCAGCTTGGGTCAGCTGGGTGCAGTTTTCTATGTTCATCTAGCATCTCTCACTACTGAAATTGTACATAAGACAGTTATGTGCTCAAATTGCTCTTTACTATATAAGTGGTGTTGGAACAAATATGTGCATTTGGAATAAGTGTTGGAGCTGAACTGACGGCATTTTTTATTTTCATTGCTATGTAATATGCCACTGCAACACTAAGTCACTTTTTTTTTTCTATTTATAATGTGGTTACAAAATTTAATGTGCCATCTCAGGGACTAAGTTAACTATCAAGGTGCTTCTGTTAAAACTCTTAATTGATAAATTTGATGATCAAGATGCTAGGACAAATGTCATTACGCAGTACAGCTATGAAGTTCACTCGTTAGATTCAAATAAGTTTTCCCAGAAAATCTGAAGGCAGTGGGCATGCATGATGTTGTAACTGGGGGAGAGAATGTGTTTTTTTACTGTAGTCTTCAGACTATCAATCAGTTATACTCTTATTTATAGATCTTTACAGCCAATTTACATGTAAATGTGTACATGAGGTTTGTGTTGGACTATAACGTCTGTGAACCTTAGCCGTATGTTTGAAGGTGCAGAAGCCCCACTGGAGATAACTTGGAGCGCAGAGCCCCTTGCAGAATGGTTCCATCAGATCTCTAAAATTAGTTTAACTTCCCCATACTGTTGGAATAGTTGGAAGGTTTTTTTTTTTTGGAGAGGGTGGTAGGAAGTAGGGAGGGTACAGGGATCAAAATTAAATGTTCAAAGTTATAATTTCTTTTCTTTTCCACTTACAATTCCAAGGATTTGAACTATGATATTAATAAGCTCCTTGTTATGCCTAAAAAGATGATTTTGAAATCAAATATACCTAATTTCTTGAATGCATTGAAAGATGGCAATTGCTCTTTAGCAGGCTTTTGATTAATAGCTTTAGATTTGTTACTCTGCTGTTGTTTTGAAATTATTTGCCCTATCTATCTCCCATATTAGCCTCTGGTATAGTCCACAGCTCAGTTTTCAAATAAGCTGCCAAAGGAGACAGTGGTTCATATTAGACATGGGGCCAAATGCAATAGATAGTAGATGGCAAAGTTTTCCTGTGGCTCGGAGATGAAAATAGATGAGTGACTTAGCTTGCATATGTAGCTGGCCACCTTTTAGAACGTTAAGAAGAGCAATTACTTAAAATGTCTGAATTTCCTGTTCTCTGTTTTTTAATATAAAGTGTTAGTTGTGAGGAAATAGACTGTTGACATGCCCAACATCATATTTACTGCAATAGGGATGTAATTAAGTAGTTGAAGAGCATAAAACGTTTTTTAGGTTCTGATAAACAAGGAATTGAGGTTTCAGGTTAACAGTAGCTTTGATCCAAAGTTGAATTCCATGACACTGGAAAACCTCCGTGTTCACTGTCTATAAACAGTTAACTTTTCTGTCTTCTGTAGTTTGTAGACTCTTTGTTTAGCTTTTGCTCTTGCTATCTGTCTGTGTGCTGTTTACCCTGAGCAGATGAGGAGTTTGCTCAGAAAATCCAGCATGGCCTGGCTGATGTGGCTCAGTATTTGCGCACCAACCTATGAACCAGGAGATCATGTCTCGATTCCCAGTTAGGACACATGCCCAGATTGCGGGCTCAATCCCCAGTAGGAGGCGTGCAGGCGGCAGCCGATCAATGATTCTCATCATTGATGTTTCTATCTTTCCCTCTCCTGTCCTCTCTGATATTATTTATTTACATACACACACACACACACACACACACACACACACACACACTAATAAAAGAGAAACATGGTAATTGGCGTACGACCGCTACCCTTCCCATTGGCTAATCAGTGAGATATGCAAATTAACTGGCAGCCAAGATGGCGGCCAGCAGCCAGGCAGCTGATGCGAACAGGGAGGCTGGCTTGCCTCAGTGACGGAGGAAGCCAAGGTTCCCCGCCTGCCTTGCCGGCCTCTCAGCTGCACTCTAAGCAACATTGGAACACCTATAGAAGCTAAACAAAACCGGGGGCATCAG